GACAGTATAACCACTCAGATACTGCTCTCTGCTTTATACAGCCATTTCCCCCAGTACTCACTGTACTGCGCAATGCCCAGGATCTTCTTCCAGATTCTGAATTTCAGAGATCCCAGGTGTTTGGCCACATCTATCAGCGCCCCTGAAGCCAGAATTGGGTCCTCCAGTGAGCACTGGGCTCTGCAAAGACAGTGACAGGCAGGAGTCAGTGATGCTGTGGGGTCTGAAGTGAGTCAAACACTGCAGAGGAAGGTGGCTGAGAGTCTGCAGCACGGTCAGTCTACAGGAGTGAATATGACAGATCGAATAAGTAGATTGATCAGTGAGTTATAACAGTATTAAATACAACAGTAACAGAATAAGATCTCCAGGCATTCAGTGGGTCGACTTCGATTACTGAGAACTCACGACTGGCTATTGTGGAAGTTGAAAATACAGTAGATTCAAAAAATCCTCCCTAGGCCAACACACAGTCCAGTCCCATCCTCTGGAAATGGGCGTCCATCTGCTGCACCCAGGTGGGTGTCGCCTTGGCCTGGTCCAGCTGCTTGGGTCCTCAGCAATGAGGATCCTGCGAGCCGGATCACCCTCAGGGAAACGTGCCACATGGCTGTAGTGCCGTAACTGACGCTCCCTCATAATGCAGGTAATGTGCCTCATTTGGGATTCAGGACTCCTCTAGCAACCGCTCATTTGACACAAAGTCAAACCAGCGGTACGCAAAGATCCTCCAAAGAGACACAGTACCGAAGGAGTCCCGTCTTCGTCTCAGCTCACTGGATAGTGTCCATGTCTCACAACCATACAGCAAGACAGGGAGCTCCAGGACTCTAAAGACTTGGACCTTCGTCCCCTTGCAAAGATGTCAGGAGCGCCACAAACCCCTTTCCAGTGACTTTTTCTGAAAGTTTCTGAAAAATCTAATTTAAAAACTTTTCACCGGCATCTGTCTGTAACTTAATGGTTAAATGAGAATCAAAGGTTCCCGTGTGACAGTCACACCCGTCTTGCCTTTTAACGCGTGAGCATAGTTCTTTTTGGAAAACAAATTGATGACAGTGAGCAGAAACTTTAACCCACTGCTGTCCAGGACCAGCCCCTGCATGTCGCATGAAGCAGCCACTGACACAGGGGTCTGTGCAAAGCGTAAGCGTCCTGCCTGGATAACCACTCTCTGACCTCCCCCTGGTCTCGTTTTCTCCCCGCTTCTTCCTCCGCGGCCTGCTGGAGCCCCAGGTGACCCCGGGTGTCGGGGGGTCATAGTGTGTCTGCTTTAAGAGCTGGGCTGTAGTCTTTGAAGCCGGCATGCTTTTTATAGGTACCATTAGCGTAGTTTTGTGTTTTCTTTTTCAGGATTAAATATAAAATACTTTTCCATGGGTGTACAGTTAAAAAAATGATTATTTACATCTGTGGCACTTATTAATGTAAATGAGTGACATCACGTGCAATAAGGTCAATGTAGTAGCTTTTTCCGCGATACAGGTACGGATGGCAGAAAGCAGCTGATATGCTGGTTATTCTGAAGCATGAGCGCAGCTACATTTACAGTTAAGGCATACAAAGTTAAAATGTGATTCCAATCAAATACATTGTCAGGTATATATGATAGACATGCATGTATGACAGCCTCTGGAGTTTCGTCTCTCCGAAACACCTGGGTAAGCAAGACTTTTTCCCAGCAATAACATTCACAGACTTCTTTTATTTATAATAACATTCTATGAAAGCAAGAACATGCATGATCACTGCCAAAATATCCCCACATTGTTTTTCATTAACAGACTTTATTATTAATAGCATGCATCAACAGAAGCAAACACATTTAACATGATCTTATTTACAGCATTACTAATGGCGTTCTCCATTGCAAGCGGGTTACTCATCTCCGTCCCCATTGCAAGCGGGTTACTCATCTCCGTCCTCATTGCAAGCGGGTTACTCATCTCCGTCCCCATTGCAAGCGGGTTACTCATCTCCGTCCCCATTGCAAGCGGGTTACTCATCTCCATCCCGATGAATCAGAAATTCTTGCATGAATTGCTTGATCCCGGGGTCGAGTTCAGTCAGTCCCTTTTCCCGAATTCTGTACCATCAATGTTTGGATGACTGTCAGGCTTGTTGCCCTGTTTCGGCTCAGGCATGATGATAAAATTCAAGGCCTCCCATTCGTCCCCCTTTAACCCACCCGATGCAGGTCAGATATCAAGGAGTCTGTTGCACCACTGACTACCTGGAAGACATGCAAACCCAGTTCACCGTAGTCAAAGACACAGACCACTTTGCCGCTGTCGGGCATCTCCCACACGACTCTCAGGACCTCCAGTGGTGGGATCACAGGTAGCTGTCTACAGGCCAGACGTACCTTCTTCGGCACCCTGGGAACAGCTTACAGCAAAGTCATCCTGATTCATAGGCAGCAATACCCAATCTTTACTTGCAGCGGTGTGAGACATATCCCTATCTACAATCTCTCTATTACCACTTCTTCACTATTTAACACCGTGTGTGTACTTGTTATATTTTCTATGGTTGTGTGTGGTCCAGTTATACCTTATGTTGTGGGGACCAAATGCCCCCACAACATGATAAAAGCCTGTTATTTTGATATTGTGGGGACCATTTTTCCAGTCCCCATAAGTATAATCTCAATTTTGTAAAAATTGATGACTGCAATCAAAAAACCAAAAATGTATTTTGTTTGGTTACTCATGGTTAAGGTTAGGGCTGGGTAGGGATTAAGGTTGTCATTTTTGGATTTTGGGTTTTCCCATGGAAGTGAATGGACAAATAATCACAAAGATATGAGTACAGGTCTGTCTGTCTGTGTGTGTGTGTGTGTGTGTGTGTGTGTGTGTGTGTGTGTGTGTGTGTG